GGAGGAACCTCTGAAACTCCCATCTACTGACCTTGTTTTCTTGATACCTCCCGGGAACACCCCTGCCTCTTTTATCCTCCCACATGGCTTGCCTCTCTGCTCTGGTCCCTCCTACAGACCGCTCCTGCCCTCCCTCAGCTGCAGGTGGAGGATGTTTTCCTTCCCAACTTTGTTGAAGTTCTCCTCCTGGAGGCCATGCTCCCCTCCTGATCAATCCCTCCCTTTCCCTGTGTGTTTTTAGCCTGCACTCCCGCACTCCATGGGGCACTGGGGAGGGGCTGAGTTGGAGATATCAGGGCTTCAGAAGCTGTGCCAGAGTGGGTGGGGACAGAAGGACATCCGCGTAATGACAGGGCAGATTTGTGCCAGGGGGATTAGGAAAAGCACGCCAGGCATCCGAATTTACATGTGTTTTTCCTGCACGTGTGGCCCAGACAAGGAGTCCCCAGGGGAGTCATGGTGGGGTCAGGGTGAGGGTGGACTTTCCTCAGACAGAATCTCTGAGGAGGGGACCACCCCAAGGCCTTGAGCACTGGACAAGATCGGGGCTGTTGGGGGCTACCCCAGCCTCTCCTCAGCCACACTGACTTCCATGACGCCCTATGGCTGTCCGGCACCCCCTGGCCCCCAGTCCTGGCCAGTGCTTCCTCCCCTCCCCCATCAAAACATATCCATCCTGTGTCCCCTTCCTTCAGGGCTTTGCTAAGAGGCAACCAGATAATCTGATTCACTAATGTCTTACAGGAAATTCTATGAATTATTCAAGGCTCTGTACAACTCCTGCCTCTTCTTTCACACCTCTGATTGGCCAAGCTCTGACCTGTTCCTTCCCTGAATTTGGACAAAATCCACAGTTGGTACCACCAGTTGGCACTCATACATATTCTTTATATCATTAACTCCTCTGAGTATGTGCTTTGTCTTCCCAATGAGAGTTTAAACTCCCTAAGGCAGGGACCTTATCTTTTGCTTCTTGTATACTTTCCCTAGCAGCTAGCGAAACGAATTAATTCGCTCACTATATAGTCCATGTGTGCCTGCCCTGTGCCCGGCAGTGGTCTAGATTCTGGGGATACAGCAGGAAGCAAAACAGACACATCCCTGTCTTCATGGATCTTCCATTCCAAGTGAGGGGGGTTGTGACCAAAATAAATAAGTAAAATATAGAGCAGGCCAGGTGGTGAGAAGGACTATGGGAACAGTGAGGCAGGGAGGTGCATAACGGGTGTGAGAAACAGCAGTTTCCAGTTTTAAAAAGAATAGGGAGGGAGGGAGGAAGGGTGTTCAGGGGAATGGGTCATTTGAGCCGCCATCTGAAGGAGGTGAGGGAGGGAGACAGGAGGGTGTCATCTGGGGGCAGACAAAAGAGCCAGTGCCAAATCTCCTGGAAAGTTTGAGGAGCCTGGAGGAGGGCCGTGGGCTGGAGCAGAGTGGGCAAGGGGCAGTGGGAGGAGATGAGGTCAGAGAGGTGAGGGCTGGGTCACGTGGGTTTAGGCCCGTGTGAATTCTAGGCTTTTACTCCGAGATGGGTAGTTCTGGAGGATTCTGAGCAGAGGACTGCCCTGATTTGACTCACCTTCTCAAGTAAAGGTGTGTGTGCTGTATGGGGAACAGGAATTAGGGGGTTAAGGGGGGGACATCAGGAGATCAGTGAGGACGCAGTTACACATCCAGATGACTGCGGGTGGTGGCTTGGGCCAGGTGGTGGTGGCAGTGATGAGAAGAGGTCATAGTCTGCACGTATCTTAAAGATAGAGCCCACAAGGTTTCCTCACAGATTGGGTGTGAGCGTGGGTGGAAGAGGAGCCAGAGATTGGTCCAAGGTTTTTGGCCCAACCAATCAGAAGGACGGAGTTGCCATCAACTGAGATGGGGAGGACTCTAAGAGGAGCACGGTCAGGTGGCAGAGAGGACTCTAAGAGGAGCACGGTCAGGTGGCAGACCAGGAGCTCAGTTTTGAACATGCTGAGTGTGAGGTGCTATGGGCATCCAAGTGGAGGTGTTGGGTGGGCAGTTAGATCCGCGATCTGGAGTTTGGGGGTGAGGTGGATATGGGAGTCATTGGTGAGTGTCTAAGTGGTCTTTGGAGCCCACGAATGTGGCTGAGATGCCCAAGGGTGTGCATGCAGATGGAAGAGGAAAGCGGGCCAAGCCCTGAGCCAGTCTGGGAGCTAGCAAGAGGGAAGAAGACCAAGAGGTCCTCACAGAGCAAGCTGCCTTCTCCCCTCCCTATCATGGCGAGGTCCTGCACAGCATCCACTCTGACACTGAGCGGCCTGGCTTCAAAGCTCGGCCCTTCTGCTTGCTGGCTGTTATGTTCCTGGCCAGATTGTTTACCTCTCTGTGCTCTGGCTTCTCGGCCCACCAAATGGAAATAATAATAAAGCAGATTTAGAAAATTAAATAACAACATATGAAAACATTAGAAACAAAATCCTGCTTGCTTTTATTATTCTTATGGATCACACTGTGCAAAGTGCTGGTGATGCCAAAGGAAAAACTGGGGTCCTGTCCTCAAGGAACCCATAGTGTAGACATGGCAACCAGTTGCAGTAGGAAGAGGCATGGCAGTAGGAGAGACCGGGACCAGGTGCTGTGGGAACACGGGGGGGGGGGGGGG